AGAGAATTTGTGTACTTAAAAAGTGTACTTAAAGTGTCCTGGGAGAGAGATCTGAAGAACTGAAAAGAAGAACTCAAGGTGCATGGTCAACAGTGAAAGAGGTGGTAGGAGTACTGTAGGACCAGCAATTAAATAATAAACTGAAAGGAAACGTGTATGCTACATGTGTTTGTCCCTGCCAGCTCTATGGTTTGGAAATGGTGGGACTTACGAAGATGGAAGAAAAGAAGACACAGATAGTAGAAGAAAATATAATGAGAAGAATGGCAGGCAAACGGATTGTAGACAGTGCACATGGAAGAAATAAAGAGGAAGATGAACTTGGGACTCTCAGTGACAGGCTGGAGAGCACATGCTGAGGTGGTCTGAACATGTGACAAGACAGGGAAGAAGAGGACAGCCAAAAGGGACATGAAAGACCAAAGATACAATGGAAAGACTGTGTCAAGAAAAGTTTGTAGGAAAAAACAGGACTGGCACTCCAAGACCTAGGAACCTGTGCCATGAACTGGAAGGACTGGCAAAGAATTGTGGGCACCTCTGACCCCAAGTAAATGGGAAAAGGAGTCAACATGGGTCTTTCACGTAATAGGGGAAAGAAATAGATTATTAAATACTGGAAAATGTGACAAACCATAAAAATTGTCTCACACAAGGGAAGGTGTAATAAACATTAGTTGAGCAATTTTAAAATGGACTATATTCAAGTTGATAGAGATAAGTAATAGAGCATAAAAGGAATAAGTAATACTTAAGTCTGTAAACTATTGGGTTGCAATCTATATCACAGGCACGATACAAAATAAAGTTGCATAAGGAAGAGTACCTTTATGTTATTCAAATGAGACTTGAAATTAGATTGAGTTGAGACAGAGATGGCAGGAGCGCCAGAAATAAATCCGGCAGCTACTCAGTTTTGCTTTGGGGTCTCTACAAGTTTTCTGTGGATTCTATATCTCAAGACCATACATTTTAAGAATCTGCCTGATGACACTATCACTGCTGAGCATTCTGAAATATCATTATATCCCACACTTGCCACCCCCAAACAATCAGTAAGAGTTTGCATTATCTAGGGGCATACAAAATCAAAGCAGAGGAGTTTTCTTTAATGTGAAGAATATTCAAACTAAATGCATTTTTTTCCAAACAGAATTATAATTATGATCATTTTAACTAAATACTTCATTTTGAAATAATTATAAATGACTTCTAGTATTCTCCCTCATTCAAACTACAGTTTGGTATCCTATTATGTGTAATACGGGTCACTACATGCATCCCCATTTTTATCTGCAAATGCTAGAACTGATTTTGCCAGGTTATTGCAATACACCATACTTCCTTGGCACACACAGAATATAGTGCATGGCAGTTTGGCATTGTTACAGCCACATCTCATAGATTTACAAGGTGCACTGCTCTCACAAGAGCACTTGATTAACTTCAAAATGTCTGGAGGAGCAAGAGCAGCTGTAGAAGACAAAGTCTATATCACCTGCTGCTAGCTTGTGTTCAACATAGACTCTGAACCTTGTCAAAGTCCTTGATGATATCACTTGCTGGCCAGTATAATACCCAAAGAATTGTGGAACTTCAGTGACTGCGCAGGTGACATCTTGTGAAGTATGTCTAGTTGACACCTCCATCTGCAGCTACTTCTTTAGGTTAGACTTGGCCTTAGCAATCCTCATGTAACCACAGTCAATGAACACTGGCACAAGAAGCCATGTGACAAGATATTCTTGATGTGACTCTTTTGTGAATTTGCTTGTAGGCCTATCGGTCTTGAATAGATAAGGTTGGTGTCAAATAGCTGTGTTGGACCAACCATTGCATACTTTTTTTTTTTTTTTTTTTATCACCGCCGGTGTCTCTATCATCCTTGGTATTGTGTTTCAGAACCAGGTGGGCTATGTTCAAATTCTTGCATTTGTTAAATGTCAACTGTGCTTCGCCTTCACTGACTGATGGTGGTGCCACTCTAAAAACAATGTTTACTATTGCCTCCGAGTGCTTAGTGGGATCTAAAGGATCCACACACGGCCATTCTTACTAATGGCTTCTCTGTCCATTGCATCTGCAGCAATCCTTAACTTCTTCGTGTAGCTCTTGTTTTGCATTTGGTGTATGTTTGGTTTATAATCTGTTAATGTCTTTAATTGTCCAGTATTTGAAAATTATTTGTCATGAGTGAATATGTAAGAATTTGTTGAGTGAGCATACTCAGAGTACAAGAAGAATATACCTTGTGTCTCAGTTCGGGGAGGGAGGTGGGCACGGGGAGGGGCAAGGATTGATGTACTAGCAATGTATACAAAACATATGGAACAATTAGTTACAATGCACACAACAAAATATTAGTGTGACGTTTTCATTAAAAGTAATTGCACTTATCACCCCCCTCACTTGAATCAGGAGGGGGTGATAATAAGTGCTCATATTTCAGAATGCTCAACAGTGACAAAGTTATTAGGCAGTTTCTTTTTATGCAGAGTCTTAAAATACAAAACGCACACACACACAAAAACCCACCGCACACACTCTGTGGACACTAAAACAAAATACTGCCAAAACTTGTATTTGGCTACCAACCTCAGTTCTTGTGTGTGAGAGAGTATAATAGGGTAAATTTAAAACAGGTCCTGAAATTAAATTGAATCTAATGAAGCTAATGCTAGGATTCACTTGGTCATGCTACTTTGAATGCATGAGAAAGTGAAGAGTAAATTTCTGCATATGATGGAGAGTGGAAACCTTTGGAGAGCCCAAAGCAGAAGCAGCAACAGTACAAGCAAAAAGCGATGAAGGTGTAGATGAAGATTATAGCAAGATTTTCAGCTGTGATGGAGAATACTTCATTTGCCCAAGAGAAGCACTACTGAGTTGATATGGAGTGGAAATGAAGCTATATGTTTACCTGGTCAAGATAAAAACAAGTTACTAAAAAGATGTCAAAAGATACATGTAACTAATAATCTGACACATTATCTATTGTAGGAAAGAGATAAGTATGATTTGTAACTGATGCACTCTTATTGGAATATGTTACATCCAGTACCAACTAGTAGATCTTCAAAACAACAAAAAACCTGATGACCAAAATATTTCAACCTGGGGGGGGGATTGTTTTTAAGCTTTGTTTACATTTATTAAAAATTAAGACAAAAAGCGAACATGGGCAATAATACACAAGGGAATATCCATGAACAGCAGGTTAAAAGGCAGAACTCACTCTTTGATGCTACATTTAGGCCTGGTCTATCCTGGTGATTTCAACCATCAGTATAGCTGCACTGATGCAAATCCCTAGCACAATCATGTAAAGCTGCAATTTGCCCTAGTGTCACTTACACAGATTTCAAATAGGAATAATGACACTAGTGCACATTGTGGCTTAAACTGTCTGCACTCGGAGTATGCATCAGCGCAGCTATAGTTACGGATGGTCTGCGTTGGCCAAAATCCTCTGTGCAGACAAGGCCTTAATAAAGATTTGATATTATGTCTTTGTATTCTGCTAGAAGAAGACTGCCAATAATTAAAATAATTCATGTTTATTATCCTCCAAGTAACTAGAAACCACCACTAGTTTCCCTCTAAACACTACCTTCTAAATGGCAGAGTCAATTTCTATCACTGTATTGCTCAATAATTCATTAGTGCTCAATAGGAATATTCCCTGCCTCTCTGTGTCTTTACAATATCAATACCCAGTATCTGTCCTGTGAGTGAGGTCTAGGAACTTAGTTCATGGTATTTGCTGTTGTATCGAAACTATCTACATATTTTCCCCGCAATATTTTTAACTTGCTTTGCCATGATTTATTTGGATGGTATAGTCACACAATGGTCCACTATAGTTGAAGACAACACAGAAATTTTTAGAAGAGGAAAGCTTTTAGGGCAGAGACCATTTCTTACTATACAAGTGCACAGCACCTAGCACAATGGGTTCTTGATCCAATTGGAGCTTCTGAGAACTTTTTAATACAAATGCATTTAAAGATAATAATACCTTACTAACAGCTTTCTGCTTACTTACACTCCCTTGTTATAGTTTGACTTAGATTAAGTTTTTTACTTTTCTATTAAACACTTGTTACTGGCATGGAATAGTACCTGTATGCTACCCCAAAAGTGGATACATTTTAGAGGTGAAGCAACAGCGTCTGTAAAGCACTCTGGAATCATTCCTGGTAAAGATACTAAGGAAAGTGGTGACACGAGACAGGAAAGTGGAACACTAAAAAACCTCTTAAATCTGTGCACCTTGGTAAAGAGCAATTTACCAGACAGAGTACACAACCGGGAAGACATTTGGATTCAAGTTCTAGCCCTGCCAATAATTTACTATGTGACCTTAGATAACCATTTGATCTTTCTTCCCCAGTTCCCTACCCACCCCAATTCAGAAAATGGGGATAATGCTGCCCTAACTCACTACTATGTTGCAAGTCTTAGTTCATTAGTGTTTGTAAAGTGCTCTGAAGTAGTAAGAGCATAAACAATTCAACAATTTTCCATTTTTGTGTAAAGAGACAGTGATGTGTAAAGAGTCAGCATGTTCAATTTATAAGAGGAGAGAGTATGGAGTAAAATGTAATCTAGGTGAGAATATAATACCATGACTGAAATTACAAAATTATTTTCCTGTGTAATAGAGGGAGGATCAATGCATACCTGAGAACAATAACAATACTTTGCACTTATATAGCACATTCCATCAGAGGCATTAAAAATGGTGTACAAGTTTTAAATGAACAATGAGACCCCATCATTACAGCAAAAAAAAACACAAAAACCCTGACATCTGTCAAACTATTACTGCCAACAAGGTCTAGGACGCCGATGAAGTTGCACAGAAAATGTAAAGGGAGAAAGATACCAAGAATCTTCACAGAAGCAGTCTACATAAAAATATTTTAGATGTCAAAAAAGTCAGTTAGTATTTTCATGAGCAGTGATTCAACTGCAAAGTGACAAACAGAGGCTCTGAATTACATTTCTTCCACATATTCTTAAATCAAAAGCAAGAGAAAATTAATGTCCTGTGAACCGGATTTTATCATTTCCATTTATTAAAAAAATTGAATTATTACTTTCTTTCACGGTTTAGGAATTCACCTGAACCCCAGATGGAATTATAGCCCTGTGAGTCAATTGCCTACTACTATGATAATATTTTATTATGCTGTCTAAACTTCAGAATATTACCAATACTACCATAAATTCACAAGTGAATTCTAGATAAACCATTGCATATTTTAGTCCTAGCTTTTTAGAGAAACTAGATGTCCCTTCAACAAGCTTAGCCTGCAGAAAGAGGTCAACAGCAAACATTCATACTATTCTTCCATTACTACAAATCCTGAAATGATCTATGTATCTTGGGTTCTGTGGTGAGATTATAGTGCCCCAAATGCAAATGGGTTCAAGAGAAGGCCATTTAAATTAAATAGCAAATGAGGTTAGGTCACTAACTACTGGCACAAGTAGACAACTCCACTAACATCGATGGAGATGTGTCCGCTTACGTGAGTGGGGAAATTGGACCAGATCTGATATTTGGAAGGGAAAGAAGATTAAATCCCTTGGGAATGGATAGATCCGGGGTACACTCTTCCTGGAAGATGTTTTTATACATGACAATTTATACAAACTAGTGCAGAGGTTTCCAAACTCTTTTTTGCTGAGCCCCTCTTCACAGATTCACGTTCCATTCACACACCCCTCTCAGGGGAGGGGTGCCCAGTACCCACAGAGACCTGGGCGGGAGGAGAGGGGAATGCGGAGAACCACTGCATCCCAGAGACAAAGTAAGCATAGATCAACATGTGACTACTGCAGTTTCTTACATAGTCAAAGTACTGATTTAAAAAAAGACAAGAGGGATAAACAATTACACACCCCTGCTGCCTCCTCTAAGTATCATTATTAAGTGCCTGGAGGGCATACATGGAAATAAAGCAGGCAATGGAGAAGAGTCCAGGCAGACTGCACATGCTGATGAAGACAGTGATGAGCCTAGAAGCCAGTAGAATGAGAAAGTGAAGAAGGTATGGTTGAGGGTGTGAGATGAAAGATATGAAGGGAGAGAAAGAAGCCAGGTGTAAGGGGAGGGTTGGATCAATGTGTGAGAAATGGAGGAAATGAATGGAAGGATTAAGAAATCTGATGGAATACTCAATGAAAGGAAAACAGAACAGGAAGGGATGAAAGAATTAGAGTTCAGTAAGGGTCAGTAAGAAGGGATGGGATTTGGTCATCAGTGTTCGAGGGAGAGCAAGGCAGCAGATGCTAGGAACCAGGCCCTGGGCAACAGGTAAAGGATCAGTGGAGAGAGAGGATAGATGACTGGGAGGTTGAACATGGGGTCAAAGAGTGGCCTGTGATTGAAGAACTGGCCAAGAGGACGGTCAGGGAAGATGTAACTGATGAGAGTTGGCTGGAAAGAGGAAAAAAAGAAGTGGAGGGAGGGGAACTAGGGTCAGCGTGGGGAGGCAGGAGGAAAAAACGTGAAGGGGAACCAGCTTAGGATAATTGGCAGTGGGGCCAACAGAGTGAGGCAATAGATGGAGTCAGTGTGGCAGTTAAAGGAATAAGAAGGAGCACAGTTGACTTACGGTGGGAGGCAGGTGTGTTTGAGTGGGGGTGATAGAAAGCGCACGCCTGGTTACTGAGAATAAGAAAAGTGGGGGGTCCTGGTCAGGAGAGAGATGATGTGGGAAACAGCAGGAGGGCATAGGAGAGGAATGAAAGGATGGGGTCACAAAGAAGATGATGGGGAAAATCAGTGTGCGTATGTATGGCAGGGAAGAGCCAGCATGAGCTCAGGGAGCAGGATGCGAACAGAAATCAGAGAGCAGGGCTGAAGCCAAGTGGAAGGGATGGGGCAGCTGGGATAAGGAGTCAGTGAGGCAGATATGGAGAGGAGAAGGGGGCAATGGGGGAAAAGGGGGTGGAGCTGAGGTCACGGGAGGACAGTGATGGAGGTGGGTACAGGGAGCAGAAGGGATTGGTAGGGGCGGGACTGAAAAGAGGGAGCAGTATCAGGGGAGTTCAGTGAGAAAAGCAGGTACGGGGAGCAGAGAGGGTTGGTGGGGGTAGGTCTGAGGTGAGGGAGTAGGGTCGGGGAGATCAGTGAGAGACGCATGTGCGGAGAGCAAAGGGGGTCGGGGTGAGGTGAGGAGACAAGTATGAGGAGCAGAGAAGGTCAGTGGGGGACGGGCGGGACTGAGGTGATGGAGCAGGGTCGGGGGAATCAGAGAGGTGATAGGTACGGGCAGCAGAGGGTGTCATGAGGATACGGTGGGAGCAGGGCTAAGGTGAAGGAGTGGGATCAGAGGACATCAGTGGGGGAGGCGGGTGAGGGAAGCAGAAGGGGTCAGTGGGGGTGGGAGCAGGGCTCAGGTGAGGCAAGCAAGGGAGGGAGGTACAAGGAGCAGAAGGGGTCAGTGGGGGCAGGGCTGAGGTAAGGGGGCAGGGTCAGAGGAGGTCAGTGAGGTGGTCAGTGAGGGAAGCTGGTATGGGGATCAGAGAGGGTCAATGGGGTGGGGCTGAGGTGAGGGAGCGAGGTCAACGGAGGTCAGAGAGCAGAGAGCGTCAATGGGGTGGGAGTGGGTGAGGGCAGGTCAGAGAGGGTCAGTAGGGTGGGGCTGAGGTGAGGTCAGAGAAATGATGGGTATGGGGAGCAGAGAAGGTCAGTTGGGTGGGGGTGGGGGCAGGGGCTAAGGGGAGGGCAGGTTAGAGAGGGAACGAGGAGCAGAGAGAGTCGGTCGGGTGAGGCCAGAGGAGAACGGGGAGCAGAGAGGGTCGGTCGGGGGGGGGGGGCAGGCCAGGCCAGAGAGGGGACGGGGAGCAGAGAGGGTCGGTCGGGCCGGGCCAGGCCAGGCCAGGCCAGGCAGGGGACGGGGAGCAGAGAGGGTCGGTCGGGCGAGGCCAGAGGGCGACGGGGAGCAGAGAGGGTCGGTCGGGCGAGAGGGGCAGGTCAGAAGGGGACGGGGAGCGGAGAGGGTCGGTGCAGTGAAGGCAGGTCAGAGGGGGACGGGGAGCGGAGAGGGTCGGTCGGGGGAGGCTAGAGGGGACGGGGAGCGGAGAGGGTCGGCCGGGGGAGAGGGGCAGGTAAGAAGGGGACGGGGAGCAGAGAGGTTCGGTCGGGTGAGGCCGGCAGGTCAGAGGGGGACGGGGAGCAGAGAGGGTCGGTGCAGTGAAGGCAGGTCAGAGGGGGACGGGGAGCAGAGAGGATCGGTTGGGGGAGGGGGGCAGTCAGAGGGGGACGGGGGATCAGAGAGGGTCGGTCAGGTGGGGGCAGGTCAGAGGGGGACGGGGAGCAGAGAAGGTCGGTCGGGTGAGGCCAGAGGGGAATGGGGAGCAGAGAGGGTCTGTCGGGTGAGGCCAGAGGGGGACGGGGAGCAGAGAGGGTCGGTCGGGGGAGGCCAGAGGGGGACGGGGAGCAGAGAGGGTCGGTCGGGGGAGGCCAGAGGGGACAGGGAGCAGGTCAGAGGGGGACGGGGAGCAGAGAGGGTCGGTCGGGGGGAGGCCAGAGGGGGACGGGGAGCAGAGAGGGTCGGTCGGGGGGAGGCCAGAGGGGGGGGGGGGGGGGGGGGGGGGGGGGGGGGGGGGGGGGGGGGGGGGGGGGGGGGGGGGGGGGGGGGGGGGGGGGGGGGGGGGGGGGGGGGGGGGGGGGGGGGGGGGGGGGGGGGGGGGGGGGGGGGGGGGGGGGGGGGGGGGGGGGGGGGGGGGGGGGGGGGGGGGGGGGGGGGGGGGGGGGGGGGGGGGGGGGGGGGGGGGGGGGGGGGGGGGGGGGGGGGGGGGGGGGGGGGGGGGGGGGGGGGGGGGGGGGGGGGGGGGGGGGGGGGGGGGGGGGGGGGGTGGGGGGGGGGGGGGGGGGGGGGGGGGGGGGGGGGGGGGGGGGGGGGGGGGGGGGGGGTGCGGGGGGGGGGGGGGGGGGGGGGGGGGGTGCGGGGGGGGGGGGGGGGGGGGGGGGGCGGGGGGGGGGGGAGAAGGGGACGGGGGGGGGGGCGGGGGGGGGGGGGGGGGGGGGGGGGGGGGCGGGGGGGGGGGGGGGGGGGGGGGCGGGGGGGGGGGGGGGGGGGGGGGGGGCGGGGGGGGGGGGGGGGGGGGGGGGGGGGGGGGGGGGGGGGGGGTGGGGGGGGGGGGGGGTGGGGGGGGGGGGGGGGGGGGGGGGGGGGGGGGGGGGGGGGGGGGGGGGGGGGGGGGGGGGGGGGGGGGGGGGGGGGGGGGGGGGGGGGGGGGGTGTGGGGAGGCCAGAGGGGGACGGGGAGCAGAGGGTCGGTCGGGGGAGGGGGGCAGGTCACAGGGGGACGGGGAGCAGAGAGGGTCGGTCAGGTGGGGGCAGGTCAGAGGGGGACGGGGAGCAGAGCGGGTCGGTCGGGTGGGGGCAGGTCAGAGCGGGACGGGGATCAGAGAGGGTCGGTCGGGGGGGCAGTCAGAGGGGGACGGGGATCAGAGAGGGTCGGTCAGGTGGGGGCAGGTGAGAAGGGGACGGGGAGCAGAGAGGGTCGGTCGGGGGAGGGGGCAGGTCAGGGGGGGGACGGGGAGCAGAGAGGGTCGGTCGGGGGAGGCAGAGGGGACGGGGAGAGAGAGGGTCGGTCGGGGGGGGGAGGTAGAGGGGGACGGGGAGCAGAGAGGGTCGGTCGGGGGGAGGGGGCAGGTCAGAGGGGGACGGGGAGCAGAGAGGGTCGGTCGGGGGGGGGCAGGTCAGAGGGGGACGGGGAGCAGAGAGGGTCGGTCGGGGGGGGGGGCAGGTCAGAGGGGGACGGGGAGCAGAGAGGGTCGGTCGGGGGGGGGAGGTCAGAGGGGACAGGGAGAGAGAGGGTCGGTCGGGGGGGGGGGAGGTCAGGGGGGACGGGGAGCAGAGAGGGTCGGTCGGGGGAGGGGGAGGTAGGGGGAGGGGATCGAGAGGGTCGGTCAGGTGGGGGGAGGTCAGGGGGGAGGGGAGAGAGGGCGGTCGGGGGGGGGGGGTGGGGGACGGGGAGAGAGAGGGTCGGTGGGGGAGGGGGGCAGGTCAGGGGGGAGGGGAGAGAGAGGGTCGGTCGGGGAGGGGGGCAGGTCAGAGGGGGACGGGGAGCAGAGAGGGTCGGTCGGGGAGGCCAGAGGGAACGGGGAGCAGAGAGGGTCAGTCGGGGGGCAGGTCAGAGGGGGACGGGGAGGAGAGGGTCGGTCAGGTGGGGGGAGGTGGGGGGAGGGGAGAGAGAGGGTCGGTCGGGGGGAGGGGGGGGTCGGGGGGGGGGATGAGAGGGTCGGTCGGGGGGGGGGGGGTAGGGGGGCGGGGGAGAGAGGGTGGAGGGGGGGGAGGGGGGGGAGGGGAGAGAGAGGGTCGGTCGGGGGAGGGGGAGGTAGGGGGGAGGGGGGAGAGGGTCGGTCGGGGGAGGGGGGAGGTGGGGGGAGGGGAGGAGAGGGCGGTCGGAGGGGGGAGGTAGGGGGAGGGGGAGAGAGGGTCGGAGGGGGGGGGGTGGGGGGGGGGGAGAGAGGGTGGTAGGGGGGGGAGGTAGAGGGGGGGGGAGAGAGAGGGTGGTAGGGGGGGGAGGTCAGGGGGGACGGGGAGCAGAGAGGGTCGGTCGGGGGGGGGGGGGCAGGTCAGGGGGGGACGGGGAGCAGAGAGGGTCGGTCGGGGGAGGGGGGCAGGTCAGGGGGGACGGGGAGCAGAGAGGGTCGGTCGGGTGGGGGCAGGTCAGGAGGGGGACGGGGAGCAGAGAGGGTCGGTCGGGGGGGGCAGGTCAGAGGGGGCCGCGGCCGGGCACCGGAAGGGGTCAATGGGGAGAGGCGGCGGGTGCCCGCCGCGGAGCGGAAGGAGCCGGGGCGAGGACGCAGGTCCCGGGCGGAGTGGCGGCGCTTGGCGGGGAGCGGCGGCGCTTGGCGGGGGAGCGGCGGGTGCCGCGGTCTCTGACGACGGGAGGGGATGGGGGAGCCGAGCCCAGCCGAGCCGCCCGCTCCGCCCCCGGCAGCTGCGCCCCGCCTCGCCCGCCCTGACACTCACCGAGCCGCCCCGGAGCGGGCGTGGATGGAACCCGGAGGCGCCTCTCCCGGCTCGGCTCGAGGCAGCGCCGCGGCCGCAGCCCCCGCTGAGGGGACAGACCGATCCTGGCAGCACCGGGCAGCCGCAGGGAACAGGCTGCAACCACCCGGGAGACCGTGCGGGCGTGCGAATGACCCGGATGTACCGGGGGCAGCAGGCAGGTGATTGCGCCTGCGCGGCGGCGGCCTTCACGTTGCGCATGCGTATGCACCTGCCTCAACCCTGCGTATCTCGGTGCCTGAACTGGTTTGGAAAGGGAGGCGGGAGGGTACGGCGACCAGTGCAGCCTCTTAAAGGCACAGCGACACCATTTTCGGCTGCCGAGGAAACCCACAGGCTGCTTCCTATTAGCCTTAGCCTCCCGCCCTGAACTGCCGGCACGACGGCCCGGGGGGCAGCCTTGGGGCAGTGGAGGGCCCTAGGGGAGCCGGTCCCTGGGGACACTCAGGGGGCCTGGCCCTCTTCCCGGAGGGGTTCCTCCATCACCCCAATTCCACCAGCCCCATGCCTGCTGCCATGTGAAGGAAGTAGCAGGATTTCTACCCGATCCAGCCAGTTTCACAGGAGGTGTAGGGCTGTTAATGCCTGCTTGGGCAGCACCTTGTATAACCAGGCCTTGCCGCTTTATGGGGCCCCTGGGCACCGGCTAGATCAGCCAAAGGCAGAGCTTGCAGAGCTTTTGCCTTTGATGCCCCTAAGTCAGCAGTTCCCACACTGGGAGTCGTGCCATCAGCAGATGGGGTCACAGGGATCCCTAGCAGGCAGAGGATGCCCGTTTGCTCCGCGCAGCGTGTCCCTGTATATACGGTGCATGGGAGGTATGCCCGGCGTGACCTCACACGCACCATGTGTTCAAGGTCACAGGGTGTGGAGGACACCGCTTTGTAGAGCAAAAGGGCGTCGTTCATGCAGGGTCACCTAACACGGGTCATGCTGTGCGGAGGACACAGTGTTGCTCTTCAAAATGCCATTCTCCATGCTGTCTGGGGTCCCGGCCAGAAGTTCTTCATTCAAATGAGGTTGTGCTGGCAAAAAGCTTGGGAACCCCTGCCCTAAGTTGAGGGAGGAGTACAACTCCTTGGCTTCTGCCAACCATAGGATTGTCAACTCCAAGCATTCAATTAAAAATAAAAAAAAAAGCAGCACACAAATTTCTTCCCAAATAAATCACATTGCAAGGTCTGGGCAAAAAGCTTAAATCCTGCAATGAGTTCAGTGCGGGCAGGGCCCCATGCTGGTGGGGGAATACCATTGCAGCATTGTCTCTGTGTATATAATGTCTTCTGCAGTTTCCACAGTATGCATCCGATGAAGTGAGCTGTAGCTCACAAAAGCTTATGCTCAAATAAATTGGTTAGTCTCTAAGGTGCCACAAGTACTCCTTTTCTTTTTGCAAATACAGACTAACACGGCTGTTACTCTGAAACCTGTCATTGCTGCCTCAGTGACCAACCTAGCCTTGCTGTCCACTTGCAGTAAAATACAAAGCACATAATGCATTTTTTAAAACTCTACTTACTATTTGATTTTTTATAAGTGTTTTAAAAACTTAAATGCCTTTTTAAAAATCTTCACAGCCACACATACCCCTTTAATACTATTTGCATGAAAACTAGTTCTTTGTCTCCTAGGAGTTCACTTGCTCTTTTCTGATTGTTCCTTGTTTGGAGTCATGAACATCCTTTTTTGACACAGTGACTGTGGAAATTGTTAGGTTGTCACACACTGTGGATTAAGAGACTTCACATGTAGGCTAAGCTGCAGGAGCAGATGAGTGAAACAGAGATCCTGTTTTCTGGGCAGCACAAAAGGGGAAGAGATCTTTTTTTCTGATATCCAAGTCAAATATTTTTTTCAAAAATGTTTCCCCAAGAGGCCTTAGCTGGTCTTTAGCCTGGCTGCATCTTCTGAAGCCAAACACTCTTTTATTATTTAAAATTTGGCATTGCTGCATTACCAGCTCTGTAGAGTGGTGGCCTCACAATAGAATAGGCAAGCTGCCTTTAATGCCAAGAGTCTCAACAATGATCATTTCAAAGCTGCTAGCTTCTGATTTTCATACAGTTCCTGAATCGCAGCGCAGCACAGGTGGGCAAAAGGACAGAAGTAGTGCAATGAGAAAGCAGGTGGCTGGCTCTAAGGCTTTGGTGATTTGGGTCTTCGTAAACACAGCATTAAGATGGAAAGCAGCACTATGGGCAGAGGTGATTTGTTTTAGAGTAACCACACTGAAAGCTAGGAGAAGTGTAGTCACTTGGTTCTGCTACTTCCTCTTCAAAAAAGAGAGGAACTCAAGTTTAATGCTGGAACTGTCAATAGCAATGACAACCCCATGTTAGTAAAGAGAGTGAGGAATAGAAAACTCAGAGATTCAGATCATAGATATGTACTCACTTTCTTATTACCATTGCTTCTGGCAGGACTAGAGCATATGTCCACTCATGCTGCTTTCCATACTCTGATATACTATACAAAGCTTCTACACAAACTGGTAGGAACTAAGGGGGGATCCACAAAGGTACTTAGGCGCCTACGTCCTATTTTTAGGCACAACAGCAATCCACAAAACTCCTGCTCGGCTGTCACCTAACCTTGTAGGCCTCGACACTCACTCTGCACCGAAGGTTTTTTTCCTCTGGGCACCTACACTGCAGCCTCACTCTAGGTGCCTCTATTCTGTCCGAACAGGCTCACTGTTGCCTCACGGTAGGTGTCCAAGCACCTATTTCCCACCTCAGCCCCTGAGCGATTCACAAACCAGGAAAGACAGACATTTCGCTGCTCAAGTCACATGTAGGAGGGCCTGATCTAGTAGGCAGCCTCTGAGCATGCTTACTGGATTTGGCCCCTCAGGCAAGTTCACACAAACACAGAATGACTGCCCCCTGTCCCCAGGCTCTTTCTCTGGCTCATTTAAATATGTTATTGTTTAATTAAAGCAGAACAACATGAAGAGGAGAAATGGAGGGAGACTATTCCATAGCCCAGTGAAGAGGCAATCACCTGAGAGGTGACAGATCTCTGTTCAAATTCCTCCTCCTCGGGAGGAGCAGGGGACTTGAACTGGGGGCCTCCAAAATCCTGGGTGTGAGCACCCTATCTACGAGGCCAAAGGTTATAAAGGAGGGCCTCCTCGCCCCTCCCCAGCTGTTTTGTTTCAGGTCCCTCATGCACCTCAGGTAGCCAAACGCCTATCTTTCCCCAGTTCATGGAGCACTAGCAGAGCTAGGTGCCTCCCTGCAGCCCAGATGTAAATGCCTATCTGAGAGGGGCAGGGCTTAGCACACACACCTCCGGTTGGAGTCTCCCATGGGCTACTTTAGGCAGCTCCCCATTTAGCATGCTGGCTTTGTGGATCGCAGTCTAAGGCACCTACTGTCCTCATTTATAATACAGGGAGCCTGAACTCAGGCTTTCATAGAATATCAGGGTTGGAATAGACCTCAGGAGGTCATCTAGTCCAACCCCCTGCTCAAAGCAGGACTAATCCCCAATTTTTGCCCCAGATCCCTAAATGGCCCCCTCAAGGATTGAACTCACAACCCTGGCTTTAGCAGGCCAATGCTCAAACCACTGAGCTATCCCTCCGGATCACAATATTGTTCCTGTGACTTTCTGGGCCCCTAAAAGTTAGCACCAGCATTGCAATACCTAAGTCCCTTCATGGATCCCAACCTTAGAGCTGTGCATGGATACGTGGACCCAAGGGCAGGCTGTTCTAAAACAGCACAAGAAAGAAGAGATTCATTGAGCAGCACCAAGATCAGGGAAGTGCAAGGGAGAGATTAAAGTTACACTCTGATTTGTCCTCCATGCAGTTTGGATGAACTTAAGAATTTAGCCCATAATGTTCTCTGCTACCCTCCTATGGCATTGAACTCACAACCCTGGCTTTAGCAGGCCAATGCTCAAACCACTGAGCTATCCCTCCGGATCACAATATTGTTCCTGTGACTTTCTGGGCCCCTAAAAGTTAGCACCAGCATTGCAATAACTAAGTCCCTTCATGGATCCCACCCTTAGAGCTGTGCATGGATACGTGGACTCAGTGCTGGGCAAACAAAAACTTTAATATATATTTATAGTGGATCCTTGGGCTCTGAGTGGCTGCTTTACAGTGCACTGCTTGGCATACTTCACCCACAAAACCTGTCCAAACAGCCCAGAGAGGATCGCTCCAGTGCAAGGGTGATCCTCCAGAGGCATATGGCCAACATGGGGGCTTGCATGCCACAAAATCCAACCTCCTGCTGCCAAAAGCATGATTAGAGAAAAGGAGAAGTGAGCATGCCCCCTGGGCTATGCTGATCCTGGGCTTTGATTTTGGTCCTTGTGGCCACTAGAAGCCTGTGTACGACCCAAGGGCAGGCTGTTCTAAAACAGCACAAGAAAGAAGAGATTCACTGAGCAGCACCAAGATCAGGGAAGTGCAAGGGAGAGATTAAAGTTACACTCTGATTTGTCCTCCATGCAGTTTGGATGAACTTAAGAATTTAGCCCATAATGTTCTCTGCTGCCCTCCTATGGCATTTTCCCCCCAAACTAGTTGATAAAAGTGGTGGCTGATTGGGAGTATGGGTGCCATCCATCCTGAAATGTGCAAGTCAGTCTCAGATTTTCATGGATCAGTCTTATCCTACAGCTTGTAGAACCTTTAAAACCTCATATCTAGGGGCCAATCCTATTCCAACTGATGTCCAAGCCATAAAATTCAAGCAGACGCTGGATCACGCTTTCCGTTTAGGTTGGATGCAATATCATGGCTGAATAGTATCATGTCATCAAATGACCAGATCCTGTCGTGTCCTCATGGTGCAGCTAGTTTGTCCCACTAAACACATGTAAGCTCATATAACCTTGCCTGAGGGTTGGGGACTTGGGCTATTGAGGACATTGTAAGCAGAGCTGACAGAAGAGCCCCACTGAAACAATAGAAAGGTTTATTATAGTACTTCCACTGGAGTTTGCTGTTCTGAGAAGCTGTAACAATCATGTCCCCCAAGTTGGGCACTCAACTGAATTACTTAACATTAGCGGATACTTTCAAAAAGTCATCCCTAATGACTAGAAAAGCTTTGAATACCATTAATTTTGCCTCAGATCTTAACTCCAAGTGTTCCCCTCTATCATAAATGCCTCTGAACAGCTTATTAGAATAATAGTAACAGAAACCAAGATGAGACCACACTTGCTAGTTAGTATCACATAAATGGTAGGTGGCAATAGTTGCTGTCAGCGACGTCACACAGCTGAACATCTCCAAGTTTGTTTTTATTGTACAGCACAACTCCAGTGTAGGAGTCTGAAGACAGATTTGACAGTGAATTTGTGGTTTTACTAATCTGCTCTAAAATGTTCTCCAAAATTAATAATTTATTTTAAAAACGTATATAAGTCCCAAGCCCAAGGGAGTTAGGCACCACGAACAGCTACAATTGTTCTATTACTTTTAATTTTAATGGCAGCCTAAGGGAGAAAGTCAGAAATAATAAAATAAGGGAAGTTCTCTTTTGTCATTTGTACACAGCAATCACAATCTGGTGCATTGTCCATGAACAGTAGTGTTTATCCAGGGGGCCCATTAAGTTTTCCATTACATGTCTCAATGTGGAAACCAGGCTTTTCCCCACATCCAGAGATCTTTTTTTTCCATTAAGACAGATTTTTACTGTAAAATCTTAAGAATGAAAGATAGCAGTTGCTTTTGTAACAATCCTTTGTTATATTGGAGCAGTTCATATCAGCTTTCTGCTACAGATGAAACGAAGGTTATGTTTTCCCACTTTCAGATTTCTCTGCTCAAGTCACCCTGTCTAGCATATGGGAGACTGCTGAAGTAGTTGCCTTCGGACTGCACTGTCCTTTAAGGCTTTACACATTTGATTTCAGCAAGTACAAATCCTGCAAT